GTTTTGTCTGAAACAAACCTTTATGGAGGTAATGTAACATAAAATTCAGACTTACTGAATTTCTTCACTTTCGTAGTTATGTTGCATTATCAATTGCTCAAGTTCGTGTTTTCGTTGCTGCAGCTGCGACTCAGTCTCTGTCAAAAGAGTCCTGGCATCGTTCAGCATAGCAGCATACAATGCTCTGAAAAATTGGAGTCGATGAATGTACATCGTCTCCCAAGGAAGGCGCACAGGAGTTCCCAAAGTCCCGCCGCTTTTTCCAGGAGTGGATAGTTAGAAGTCCGGAGGGATAAGTTTATTATCTCCCAAGCGTTAGGGTTTAGCTCCGCCCATGGCTCCAAATGCCTGCCAAACTCGGCTGTGCGATTTCAGTGAACGAACATGCAGATCCAAGGTCAAGAACAAGAAGAAAAAAGATGAAATTAGTATGATACTTCTTCAGAATGGCTAAAAAATCTTCTAAAGAATTTCTAGAGTACTTTTTTTTGCGATCGATAAATCATCTCCATGTTTTGAAGTAGTCGTACAACTTGATGCGGATATCTAGTTGGGCGACCAACTTGACATTGTTTTTGCCCAAACGAAGTGTCAGTTACTATAGCACTATTACTGTAGGCTAACGCCTAATGGTTACGCACAATAAAGGATTTGCAGCAACGATTATCAGCGGGTCAGGTACATTGGTGACACAATACAGTATTTGCGTCACATATTGTGGTGATTCATAGAATGAAATTGCCCGCAGCTATCGTTGTGAACTTAGCCAGAAATTGCTAACCCGATGCGTTAAATTGTTATGTTAATTTCGTCTTCTTTCTTTTTGTTCTTGCCCGTAGCGTAATCTGTTCGCGAGATTATACAACCAGTTTGAAGGCGAGCAATAGGTGGAGGAATGGAATGTGCATGAGAGGCGGTAGATGCTTCTGGGACGCTTAATTACTCGCCCAAGGGGGATGCGGCAAGTCTTTGGGAACTCCTGCTACAACGCCGAGTCCCAATATTTTAAAGTTCTATATGATTTCCGCAATAAATATCTATACATCCGACCTTGCATCTTTGGGAATCTCTTCAAATAGAGATGGACTTTCGTGCAATGTATTCATGAGTAAGTTTCGTATACCCAACATCAATTTGTGATAGCGATCTTGCTGCTATAATGTGCGAATACAATTGAGCTTTTCCTGTTTAGCATCCTAGCAAATCAAGCTTACCTCCTCCAAAGCCTTCCGATACTTCGGTACCTCATGCCAGTGTAGCTTACAAAGATCTTCCAACTCAGCTTTCAGTTTCCTCATGGTGAGTTTATTCTAAGATCATGATTTTGATTTTCAAAATGCAACAAACTAATCAGTACTGTAACCTCATCCACTTCGGCAACCAGAGCTCGCGCATCTCTATCGCATAATCCCTGAATTTCCTCCTGTTCTTTAATGGCAACCTGAAGTTCGGAAACGCGACAGCGGTATCTATTCGCTTTTTGGGCAACAGTAGCAGCCTCATCTTCCGCAACACCCTCAAACATTACATCGATTGACGAGGAAATAGTTACGACATCAGCTCACGACTCACCAACTCTGCGCTCAAGTGATTCATATCTCCCTCGATTTCCTCTTTATACTCACTTGCTTTTTTAATATCATCATTCATACGAACTATATCTTCTCGATAGCGATCGACGTTCCCCTTCTAAATAAATCATCATGTGGTTCATGAATATACTCTAGACAGAGAAACTCGAATAGGGTAAACTAACACTAAAGCAATTCTTCAAAGTTTGTTTGAATTGTGAGCAAAAATGACTAAAATTTCATAATAACCGATTTTTTAGGTTAATTTAATGGCCGAGATAGACACTCGCATCCGAAAGAGATTTATGATTCGATTAGAAACACGTCCTAAGAGGCAGATATTGATTGAGTATTGAGATGTAGGTTATAGAACAATAATCATAAAAACTACTTTGTTTCATTTTTTGCTCACAATTTGAAAACCTACTCTTACTAAAGGTAAGTGGCACTTCTCAAACGCTAAAGCTATGTCAATCCGTCTTAAAGATGGGTGTACAACGGAACTTCAATAATGTCAACTATTACTTTCATATTTGGAACTTCCAAAAGTACCTCAGCCTCTAACTCTGCACAGTCCTCTTTGAGCTGATCCAAAGCAGCCCTAATTGTCTCTTGCTGAGAATCGAAATCCTCCTGTAGTTCATGCCAATGGCGCAGGGCGCTTATTTGATCTCCAAATATAAAATAATGTTATTACGGAAACTCGTACAAAAACGCGCTTACTCTCAAAAAAACTTTCATCTCTCATAGCTTCTCTGTTCCGAACATACTCTTTGAAGCCAGCATTTAGCCAGCTATACTTGTACTGAAAAAAAAA